GGAGGGAGGAGGCAGGAGGGAGGAGGCAGGAGGGAGGAGGCAGGAGGGAGGAGGCAGGAGGGAGGAGGCAGGAGGAGCAGGAAAAGAAATAAAAAAGGCAACTACCATTTCATAATTCAGTTTCAAACTGTGGTAATAGTCAGTAAGGAACGAAGCAGCAATCACACACATACTATAGTACCTGTGTAGTTTTCAATCTTCTGTAAAATAACCAGAATTTTTACATTCATGCATTAGTATCTGGAAATCCAGAAGTAATCCTCAACAGTCCAGAATAAGGCAAAATATGCATAAAAATGTTTTTGTAATATCTCTTATTATTAGAGAAAGGAAAATTTAGTTGTAACCTAACAACCAGGAACTTCATAAATTATAGTTAATGACAGATTACACAGCCACATGGTTGTGTTAATAGCTTTGTTCGGGGCTGGGAGCACAGAGGGTTGAATCCAGGGCCTTTGCCCTGAGCTACATCCCCCAGTTAGGGGAATTTTTAACTAATTATAGTACTTAAAGGCATCCTATGAGTCCAAAAACCATGAGATTTATACTGAAATTACTATGAACATTTAATTTTTAAAGAAATGAACCTAAAATGTTTTTAAAAATCTGAAAAATTTGGTGCCATGTTTTGAAAATGTCTGGACTTCAACAAGAATAAGCCGACAATTACATGAGACATAATTCACAGAAACAGCACTCACTTCCAAGGTATTTATGATACTGCTCTACAAAAGAAGGCTGTAACATACCTACTCCGGTCCAGTACACAACTCAGTAAGACAGGTTGTGGGTCCTGTAAACAATAAAATGTGTGGGGAAAATGTTAACATTCGCTATGCCAAAGACAGTAGTGGTCTTATTCTATTAAATGCTTTCTATTTCTTCTGTTTTATTAGCTCAGCTCCACAGGAGACCACTGCAGGCCTTATTTCTGGAATGCTGCCCTGATTCTTTTATCCCAGCCTTGTTGCCAGGGTTGCAGCTGCACAACCAATTCTTATTAAAATTGAGTCTTTGAAATGGAGGTCTCCGAAAGGAATATAAAGGATTTCATTATCTCTTCTCTCAACTCAAAGGGTTACACTCTTACCCTTCTCAGCCACACGACACTTGCGTGCCCCTCTCTACCACCTCACCCCAGCCTTAAATGCAGTAGGAAAGTTACAGAAAGTGGGAGCTGCCCAGTAAGGAATCTTTTTAAATGACTTCCAATACTTAAGGTACAGCCACAGATTGTGGCCAGATACTCCCACACTTCTGTGACTTGAGAAATAATACTTCTGAAAAATAGACACAGGAAAGAATAGGCGGTCTGCAATAACGATTTCAGAAATTTTAAGTCAGGAAAAAGCCAATTGTTTATTCAAAATGTGAATTACTTTATAGCAGCTATTAATTTTGTTGTAAAGTACTCATCCCTCTAGTATTTTCTTGGACCAGGAAAAACTTAACAACAATTTACACCCCTTTTCCATTCTTTACTAGGATCTTGTATACTCTTTTTGTCTGGATAAAATAACAACTGCTTGACTTTGCTTTAGAAAGACATTTTACCATTGAATATTGTGAGAAATGCTAATACAAAACTGTTAAGTCCATGAAGATAAAAGTAGTTCAATGAAAAGGGGACAGGTGAATATATCTAATACAAAATAAAAAGGACAGTTTTTAAATAAAATGTATTATTTTTAATGTTGGCATAGCGTACTGGAGTTCTTGTAACATGTAGAACCACAGAACTTCGTATCAGAGAAAAGAGTTAAGACTAGCAACATTCTTTGGTGTCAGATACACTTCTTCTGCTCCCTGGGCGATTAGAAGCAGCAGAATGAGAAGCACTACCCCTCAAGGGTCTTCTTACACAATAATGTATTTCAAGTTACGGAAACGAAGCACACTGAGATCCCACTGTAAAATGTCACTGTTAGCTGCATTTTTAGGTAATCAAACCAAAATCATCAACCTAAACGTACTTCATAACTCCATGAATCTTTAAGTATCCAAGAAACACACACAAAAGAAACACGATCAAAATGCAGAATGGGATCTCCTCACACCACATAGGGTAGCTAGTATTTAAAATTTTAAAAATGTCGGCGAGGATATATTGGTACAATTGTAAAATGGTGTGACTGCTAAAAAATAAAACTATCACAAGCCCTCAAAAAAATAAAAAATAATAATACCACACATACCAGCAATCCCACTTCTGGGATATAATCAGAAAAGGGAAAGGCAGGGCTCCAAAAAGATACGTGCGCACCCACGTTTGTACCTGCATTACTCACATAGCCAGGAGAGGAAGCACTCAAGTATCTGTGACAGTGAACACAGAACAATGCGGCGCACACAGTTACCTCTCAGATTCCTTGGACGGGCTCCACAACCTCCCTGGAGTACCGAAGAATGCCCTGATATATCCCTTACACAAAACAGCACACTACTATATGCATATAACCTACGCATATCCTCCCACACAATTTAAATCATCCCCAGCTTACTTACAATAACTGACACAGTAGAAATGCTATATAAATTCTTGTTATACTATATTATTAAGCAAATAAAATGGGAAAAAAAGGCTGTACATGCCTTTAAATGTACATGTCCAGAACATACATAATTTTTCCCTGAACATTTTTAATCTGTGGTTAGTTGAAGCCTCAGCTGTAAACTTGAGGATACCAAGGGCCAACTCTATACAAAATGAAGATTTGCTCAGTCTTAAAAAAGAAGGGAATAAGGGGCTGGGGATTTAGCTCAGCGGCAAAGCGCCTGCCTAGCAAGCGCACGGTCATGAGTTCGGTTCCCGGTACCGGAGAAAAACCAAAAAAAAAAAAAGAAGGGAATACTGTCTGTGCTACAGCATGACAAATTTCATGGACAGTATGCTGAGTGCAATAAGCAGTCACAAAAGGACAGATACTGTATGATTTCATTTATTATACACCAACATAACACAGGTAGGCACTGGGGGTAGGCATAAGGAAAAGAGGAGTTAATAAGTATAGTCTCAGTTTTGCAAGTTAAAAAAAAAGTTCTGGCCAGGTTTGATGGTGCACACCTGTAATTCCAGCACACATGAAGCTGAGGCAGGAGGATCACTGCAAGTTCAAGGTCAGTGTGGGCTACAAAATGAGTTCAAGGCCAGCCTAAACTGCATAGTGAGATCCTGTCTCAAAAAGACACACACAAAAAAAAAGTTCTTGAAGATATCTTTGTCACAGCATGTGGATATACACTTAATACTATTAAACTGTGTGTACTTATATATGGTTACGCTGATAAATCTTATGTTTTTTATCACCATAAAAATATTTTTAAAGTAGAATGGAGGTAATTTGTTTTTAATCAATTATCACATTTTAACTTGTGTGTTTTTCTTCCCTTTCTTTCCAGATAAAAGTTATACCATTATAGTGTAAAACTCAAGAGTCAAGAGAATAAATCATTAACAATGGGCTAAACAAAATAAGCCAGTCCAGGCTGAGCATGATGGCGCACAACTGTAATCCCAGCACTTGGGAGGCTGAGGCAGGAGGTTCGTTGGGAGTTTGAGACCACTTTGTAGCCTGGGCTACAAAGAGCTCAAGGCCAGCCTGAACTGTACAGTGAGACCCTATCTCAAAAAAAGATCCAGTCCAAAAGAAGGCAAATATATAGTCCAATATATAGCAGCTTCTTATATAGCTTTTTGTGGGAATTCTATGGATAGACCAGGATATATATATATTCATTTCCTAAAACAACTTTTTAAAGTATCTTAGGTGCTATCATGTATCATGGGAACCTTGCCTCTTTACTTAACAGTTTATTTTGGAAACAAGGCAATATCAGTAACTAAAAACTGCTTCCCTCAAGGCTGGGCATGGTGGAACATGCCTGTAATCTCAGCACTCAGGAGGCTGAGGCAGGAGAATCACTGTAAGTTGGAGGCCAGCATAGCAAGATCCTGTCTCAAAAACAAAAACAAGGCGTTGACGGGACATTGCTTCTCTTGATTTTTAAGCATTTTATACCGGCATAACTAGTCTCAGATAGGTGTGAATTGGTTGTAGAGATCAATGGGTTTCATTTTACCAAATCTGTACATGTATCCAACTTACTTTGGTCATTTTAACCCCCACTGCCCCCTCATCTCACATTGGGGAGGGGAAGTTTCATTATGCACTGGACCAACCATTTTTAAAGAAAAGCAGATAAAAAATGGCCCAAAATTGAAAATGTCTTTATTTATCTATCATCTATCTATCTATGTATCTATCTATCTATCTACCTACCTACCTATTATTTATTTTGAAGAGACAAGGTCTCCCTATGTAGTTCACACTGGTCTTGAACTATGTAGACCAGGCTGGCTGGTGATCCCCCTGACTCAGCCTCCTGAGGGCTATGATTACAGGTGTGTGTCACCATACTGGCTCTAAGACAGAAAATCTTTACATCTACCCTAAGGTCAACACATTTCATTTAATTAATATCATCCCTTAAGCTATAAATATTTTTCAGTGAATACATGTACTGAAGGCATTCACAATAATTTAATGGCAATAAATGAAAACAGGTCATCTTGTATGTGATCACTTTTTTAATTAAGTTTATGCAACCACTTTTTAAAAAAATGAATTCTTTTATGAATCTTTATAAAAGCATGTCTTTTATCCACACAACACAAAATAAGGAGAGCGTTTTCTTATGCTGCCCAGAAAGCACTGCTTAAGCAAAACCACAAGAGGGTGTTTTTATGATTTCTTCACTGAAATTGTGACCTTTATAGTGAAAATGTATAGCAGCAATTATGATCGATTCCAGCTGCTGTCGTAAGAATTATTATACTACGCTGAGCTCTGAGTAGACCCAACATTAAGACCACTAATGCTATTTACGTAAGCACAGCACATTATCTCAGATGGCAACTATTTCTAGTTACTTCTATGAGGACCATTAACACAAAACTGGAATTTAATTCCAGTTTCCACTCCCTAAACCTAACTATTATTAGACTTTCAAAATATTTTCTGCTTACAGATGAAGACATATAAAGTAGATTAAACTGTCAAAATTAAAGAGTTAATAACCAATCACCACATCCCTCAAAAATCTCCCAAACTCCATCCTTATAGTTATTTATTTACATGTAGAAAAGAAGAAACTCAGGCCAGGGATACAGCTCAGCGGCACAGAGCCTGCCTGGCAAGGATGAGGTCTTGAGTTCAATTCCTAGTACCAAAAAAACCCCCAAACAAACAAGAAAAAGAACCAATGAAAAGAAGAAACTCAGTTCAGGGAGAAATTCAGGGGTAATCTTTGAAAGATCCCATTGTAGCTTGGCTTTTGTCTTAGTGACCTTTTCTCAGTGCTGAGGCAAAATACCTGGCACCCAAAGTTAAACAGAGAAGATTTACCCAGCTCACAGTTCTCAAGAGTTTCAGGCCATGATCCGCTGGCTCCAGGCAGGCAGCGCGGCAGAGGGGCCGCACAGAGCAGAAACGGTGCACGGCAGGCAGAAGGCAGCAAAGCAAAGCGAGCAAGCAAGAGACAGGACATCAACATCAGCCCTTTCTGTCCCTTATTTTTATCCAGACTACTCACACCCTTAATCCTAGCACTGGCTGGGGATGTAGCTCAGTGGCACAACACTTGTCTGGCAAGCATGAGGCCCTGAGTTCAATTCCAAGTACAAAAAGCAAAAAATAAATAAATAAAAAAGCCTAGCATCCCACCATGAATCAATTCCAGCATCACACCCTTGATCCTAGCATCACACAGCCTAGATCCAGCCACCTCTGAAAA